GACTTACATAGTTATAAGATACGCACGGGCACGGTCATTAAAAGGCAAAGGCAAAAATCAGCTCACGTTCCTGCACTTCCGAACCCTCTTTTCATCAACCAGTAAAGAAAAGAAAAGAAAATAAAGTAGGAACGGGAACGTGAATCGGAGAAGGAGGGATAACTGCTACTTTTTTTTTCCCAGTAGTATACATTATGAGTAGCAAATATGTGGTATTCCTTCTCATGAAAAGCACAACGTATACATCTATTATCATACAACAAAAGACTGATTCGAAACCTCAATCAGAGCTTCACCTATTGTCCAAATACTGCACAAACAAATTGAGTTAAGCGCAAACGAATAGTGGGAGGTCAGATGAAAACAGAATTACATTTCTATTGCCTTTCTACAAAACTGTTAGTACCAGCACAAAATTTCCATCAAAAGATTAATAATACAAAAAAATGCTACCATATTTCTTTCCAAGCCAGCTAAACTGATATCGGCAATGCCCTGAAGTTTATGTCTGATAATCCTAACGGCACCATTATAAGAAAGTTACGGTAAAAGAGGTTTTAATTGTGCTTGGAATAAATCACCAAGAGCTCCCCGAACATCCATCTGATCAAAACAAAGGATTATCAGTTCATCACACGACGCATTTCTTACCCTCGCTCTCTTAAAAAATGCAATTCAGAGATAAGTATGCACATAGCCAGGTTCTTTAATAAAATCCAGTATTTTAAGGTATTGACAGAATATCTTTTAGTAACACGTCTTTAGCAGTTACAGTTAGTATATAGCTATTTCCTTTGATGAGAAAAAAAGATATATCCACGTTGTCATCAGATATTGAAATCCCGTTTCATCTATTTTGCTAGCTTTCTTATATAACAGTACATTCTGACTGCTCAACCATTCAATAATTCTGCCAACTATAATATCAAAACTAATTGAAATCTCCTAATCTTGTCTCTGTTGAGACAAACATCCAGACAAACAAATTATACCCAAATACAAAAGCAAGTTAGCAAGACGATACTAAATGGACAGCGTAAAAATCAAAATATTGGTGCCACCTCTGGTTTTAATAAGAAACAAGTTTAACGTCAAAAATGTCCTTAATATCAATTTTGATATGAAGTTGAGCATTTTTTTGGGTTTTATCATTAAAGGACAAAACTAATGAGTAATGACATTGACAATGGTATCTCTGGAAGATAAAAATGTATGTTTACTGTATTTAAAATGAGAAGTGCTAGAGGTTAGTTTCTAAACAGTTAACAAAATCAATTTTGGTTAATTTAAGTCAAATATGGTTTTACTTCCAAATAGACTCCACGCCACCAAAAACACTTGTATTGTAGAGTTGCCCCTAAATAATAAGCAAGAGTTGGCACAATACCAAAATATATACACATGCATAGAATTATTAGGTTAAATTATAATTTTGGTCCCTATATCAATGTTTTGGTTTTAGGTCCTACATTTTGGATCCTATATACAAAAATTTCTACAAATTGGTCTCCAACATTTACTGATAAATTATAGCGGGGTCAGAGTATTTTACTTGTATGGACTAACACAAAAAATGACATTTCATGTAAAATGTTTGTTAATATGGAGGGACCAAAATGTAATAAAAAAAATATGTACAAGGATCAAAACAAAAAAAAAATGATATCAAGTATAAACCAAATATAACACTGTTATTACTTCAATAAATGGTAAGGGTTTTTCATATAAAGATCAAACTATAGGGTTTTCTTGTGTAAGAACTAAAATGAAAAATGGTGTCAAGTGTAAGGACCATATTTATAATTAAACCATGTTATTAGCAATTGCAACAAAATAATGACCAAACAAAGTCATACCCCTTAAGGGGCCAAACAATTACCTATCGATCTTTATATTTCAGGCCAATTCTGATATTTGTTCTCATAGGTAAGGAGATTTAAAGCATTTAATGAAATCCTATTCAATTATTCTATTTTTAGTGACAAGCGTATAGCGAACACAACCAAATAATGACCTAGGAAAGGCATACATATAGAAGCAGCTGAAGAATCCAATAAACTACTTATCCATCCAAAATAATTATTATTTTTCTTTCCACAAAGTTCATCGAAAAATCAACTGGTGAAAATCAATTAGAAACTCTTTTAGGATTGTCCCTGTCCCAATACTGCCATTGATGGAATAGAAAATAACTCCCATTTTATATGGTGAGCATCCTTTCCCTTAAATTTCAGCCAGCACATTACACAAAAGCATAACAATAAATTAAATGCAGCCTTGAATAATTGTAGAAACAAGAAATTACCTGGTCACAGCAAACAAGTTTTGTTAGCAAAGGGTATAACTCTCTTAGGTGTCTTCTGAAAATCTTATTGTTCATAAAACACATGCTTTGAAGCACCTGAAAGAGCACAGTTAATAAATATTAGTTTATTGGCACAGAAAAAAAAACCCATAAAGCATAGCTGCAATGAATTTCATCCAGTTAGATTGAAAAGCAAGCAAATACAAACTCAAGCTGAGTACCCCTATTTTAATTGATTTTGTTAAATAAAAAGAAACTTGAAAAAGAAATATAGATGGATAAAGTATCCAAAGCATTTGAATAATAATAAGTAAAACAGAGAAATGAGAAGAAAACCAAGAATGTAGAACATCCAAGAAGTCTTTTATATATAGGACATGACAACTCCCTCAAAACAGCTGTCGGCAAAACATCATTATTATAAGG